GTAATCTCCCAATTTCAAGATCCTTAACTTAAACATCTACAATCCCTCGTGCCATGTAAGGGAACATAGTCACAGGTTCCATGGACTTCTTTGGGAGGGCCATTTTTCTGGCTACCACACCATCAATGGCCCTAAGTTTCTCCACCTACAAAATGGGTTGGCTCTGATGTCCAACCTGTCCAACTCTGTCTACCAGTGGATAGAAAACAGTTATCCAGAGACTAGAGTCTGTCAGGACAGGTCTGAAGTCTGCAAAATGACTCTCCATTCCAGAAGTGTCTAAACAATGCAAGTGGTCTTTGATTCCTGGTCTTTGGTATGAGACAGATAACTCCAGGATATCCCTGGCTGCACAAGCTTCTGCCCATGGTTCTGCAGCCGTGTGACCTGGTAGAGATGCTGGAAAGTTGACCCATCCACACCTGGAGTAAAGAGAAGTCAAAAGAAGATCCTCTTCCGTCACTACCTTGAAAATCCTGTTCTAAAAGTCCTCAGGTCTCTAGGATAAAAGACCTTTTTTTATATCACAATCTAATTCATTTTCAACTGCTCTCCCACCAAGTTCTTTCAGGAGTTAATTAAAACCCTACATAAATCATTATAGTAAAAGTGAGAATAAATTAAAGGTTTAAGTGCAAAATGAGACTGAGTCAGCAATCGTTTTCACTGGAAGATGCCTAATTTCCATTTGGTCTTGGGGGACGAGTAAATGAGAGAGGGAAATAGCATGGCCTGGTGGAAAAGAAAAATAGAAATAAAAAACCCTAAAATGAGAGTCCAAGACTTTGGGTACAAGATTTCATGTGGCCCCTATGTTTACTGGGAGCAAGCCCATCTCTTTTCACATTCTTGGTTCATCATTCTTCTATAAAAAGGAAAGTTATTGGGTTGAGGTTCTTTGGGCTCAGCATTCCATAACTAGGGGGAGGGTGGGGAGAGTATGTCCCCTAACAGTGATTTTTGGATGCGTTTTTCTTTCTGTTTCTGTGGGTCAGAAGGAAACCACTGATGTGAACTTTCCGGCAAACCCCTGAGAAGTGGTGTCTCCATCCACACAGGTCTAAGATGCTATCAGTGGAGAACTTTCCACCTTTACTAACATTTCTTATCTCCTGTCATCTGCACGGTGACTGTGAAAAATGCTCTCAGTGGGTGTTTCTGATTCATTTTTGCGATGGTCCCATGATGTCTGAAGAAGTTAAAGTTTAAACTCTCTCCCTTCCCGTTGGCCTTTATAGTTCTGAGGATTCTGCCAGTAACGGGGCTAATTCCTAAGCCCTAAGTTTTCTAGAAAGGCTGATGGCCTGACCAGGACAAGTGGCTGTTATTTGTTGAGGAGGAAACTCACCTGGCTTTTACAGGGTTCTCTTATACAGCAGCAATAAATGTGACCCAGCCTGTCAATGCCTCCATTTTCAGCTGGTGTTATGAAGATCTCTATCTAGGAATAAACTTCCTCAAAGATAAAACAACAGGCTGGAGTTTTGGAGACAATAGCAATATTGTCCTGGGAGTTTGAGACACTTAGAGAACACAGTGTCCTCTTCTCAGTGATCCTGACAATTTACGTATTGTTCAGGAATTAGCCCCAAGCAAAGTCAGAGAAGAGTCAGTATTTGGGGTCCTTTAAAACATTAAAGTCAACTTGCAGTCTCCAGGGGATAGAGAGAATTTTTTTTAATGTGATATGTTGTGACTGCCACACAGGCCAGGACTCAGGGTTTTTCCTAACTTTCAGTCTCAGCTTCAAAGGCCTCTGGAGTGCCTGCAGGTGTGCATGTGCATGCAGCACACATGCATGCAGGTGCTGTCCTGTAGTGGTTCACAAGTGTCTGTGCTGGTGTGTGTCTGTGTGCAGAGTGTGCCTGGCTGTGAGCATGCACTGGGGGGAGTGCTAGTTTGGGTGCAGAAGAGGTGAATGTTGGCCCTTGAGGGTACTGGGATGCACATGCATGCACAGGTGTGAGTGTGCAAGGGCATATGTGCACACTCATCTGTGTCAAGTGTGTTTGTGTGTGTGGTGTTTAGAAATGTATGACTGTGGACAGGCCCACAGAATTATCAGTCTTCACAATCAACTCAGTGAAGACACCGCTGGTCCAGCCCAAACCCCAGTGGCTCTCAGACTTATTCATTTATTGCAGAGGTTTTCCCAGATGCCTACTATGTGCAAAGTCGCAGAGCTTTATGTCCTCAGAGAGTCACCATAGAGTATGAAAGATGAAGTGTATATACTTGGAAGGTAGAACACCTCCAAGCAGAAAGGAGCCTGGTCAAGGCAGCATTATCCGATTGTGGCGCTTAGTTACCTGTCTCTTACCTCACTTGAGGGTGTCTTTAACTATAAAATTTATGGATGCAACAAAAAAGAGTATTTTCAACCTGCTGAATGTAATTGATGTTCTTTTTTATGTACAGTTAATTTAGACTTTGTCTTGTAAGACAAACTATAAATAATATATTTACCAGTTATAAGTGTGAGATTAGCCTTTGGTTTTTTCTCATTAAGAAACTGACAAGCATGTTGTAAGGATTAAATAAATGATGATGATTGATGACGGTGATGATGATGATGTTAATACTTCAAGATTAATAATAGATATTTATTAAGTCCTTAAATATGCTGGGCGTTGGATGAAGCCATTTTCATAGATTTATATGATGAATTTGGATTGCACCTATGCGCAATGGGAAACTCTGAAAAGAGACCTGATGAAAAGGAGAGGTCTGAAAGGAAACCCAGAGGGGAATTGGCAGAGAAAGGGGTGTAGGTACCTGGCTCTTTCCCACATGATCTTAGAGCCCTCCAGGGACCCTAAGCTTTGCCTATAGCCCCAGCGCTCTGTTCTTAATTGTGTAGGACTGAAGAGGAGGTCACTCCTCAGGGACGGGTGATCATCCTTGTGACCATGATAGTTATTCGATGCCCAGCCTATTCCACCTCCAGCCATCCTACTCCCAGACCACTGCTTTAGAAAAACCTGTCCTGAAACACAAACCCCACTATGTCCCATATATGCTCCTATGGGGGATAGCTTCCAAGGAAGCACAGATTTTAGGCTGGCCACAGCATCTCCATTAGTGTCGAGACTAATAACCACGTCTCTTCAAATCTGTAGAGTTCTCTGTTGTTTACGTATAGTGCTTTCACATTCACAGTTGGATTAATCTAAACAGGAATTGTCCTTTGAGATAGGCAGGATTAGTCAACCCGAGAATATTCGAAGCCAGATTAACCCACATGAAAAGAGTAAAATCACTTACTATTAATTGCCCCAAAGCATCAACATGTTAGAAGTCATCTACTGTTTAGAACTATCCAATAGCCAATACACGATCACATACTGTATCTTCTATATCATAGGAGCACCCAATCCCTTAATGGTAGAACACGTAGCCCCTGGAGCAGACCATCACTCTGAACTGCCTTGCTCAAGTGGAGAGTAGCTAAGGTGATGGCTGAGGATTCTTACGCTAAGAATCAAGGCCATGGGGTGGCCTATTCTAACATTCAGTCAAGGGACGGATCAGTAAGGGTCAAACTACAATAACAGTAAACTTTGGTTACTTTCATCAAGGGATTTACATATAATTGACATTCTCACACAACTACACATTTTTATATCACTTTTGGTTAAAATGAGTCTAAAAGAGGTTTTTGTTGTTGTAGTTGTTTTGTTTTCTTAACAATTCAAGTTTTTCCTATATCCCAAGGACATATTTCTGAGTATCAACATTAATGCTCATTGACCTAGACTTTTGACCTAGAAAGGAATCTCAGATGAATCCAGAGTTCCCCAGGTAAATTAAGCTGCATTTATGAAGCTGTTGATTATGCTGTGCGGACGTCTGAAGTGAATATGTTGCCAGTTGATTGTGTCTTGTAGCTAGTTGGTTTCTAGTTAAATGAATCCATGCTATGCAAATAAATTAAATCAAGTTGATGCTCACTTATTTGAATACCTAGATTTTTTTTTTTTAAATGTAACCCTTAGGGAATGTCATATAGGGAAAGATAATTTATAAGCCATTTTCATTCCCACCCACTAAATATTAATACATTTCCTTTCCTCCAGGGTTCATAGCTGGGCCTGTTTCTGCTTTGCAATTCTCTTGCCATCTTCCCGGCAAAGGCCAGTTCTCAACTTGTCCCCTATTTTAGCCAACCAAGGCCAAGATCACCCTCAGCCTCAAAACCCAAATTGCTCAAGGAGTTTAAACTCTCTGCAGTGGATGGATACTGGATTTTCTTGAGCGAGGGAGTGGCGTGGAGAAGGAGATATTTAACTCCATTACTCTATGTTGCTGGGTGTGGAAAGAGAATATTATCTATACAAAAAATGTTATCTATAGAAAAGATGTCTAAATAATAACTGTGTGGGAGGGAAAGTGGTATGTAGAAAGAACTTTGGCTTGGAGTTAGCAGATAAAGAAAATCTGATCTTCTAATAACTTCTCTGGCACTGATTCACTGTGTTACTTTGGGCAGATTACAACTTCTCTCTGGGCCTCTAATTTTCCTTCTATAAAATAAAGCTTTCTAAATATCCATCCAGGCTTCACATATTATGGTTTTCCCACTCTATGCTAATTTGTAACGTATGATAAAAGGACTTTTCTGTCTCCTGGTTTCTTCAACTGTCTAGTGTCAAAGAAGAGACAAGGCATTGTAGGAAGCCCCAGGGAGCTTATGGGAACTCTGCACTAAGAAAGAATCAACATCCAATGCAAACAGAAATCTACATCTTAGGATCTCTCCCGTTAAAGAACATGAGAGAACCTAACCAAAGCAGGAAGGGAAGCCACTGAGTTCCTGGTCAAGAGGAAAGCACTGTAGTAATTGCAAACATATCCACTCTCTACCCCAACCCCTCCCAAATCTAGCAATGAATTAAAGCAATATACATGCAACTTTCAAAACTTAGATATCATAAATACCCACAACTTAAAAGGATACATCATATATGTTCCATTTGGGACATTATAAAATGTTAAGATAATTATTCTCCTTATTTTGTAGGGTTTTGAATATCCTTAAGGGAAAAGGTCTTGTCTGCCTTGGTGAAGCCCTGTTGGGGCTTACTCAGGGCTCAGAGATGAGGAACGATGTCTCCATCTCATCCGATGATTTACGAGGCCAACTTGAACGTTTCCAAATGAGATTCTTTTAAAGAAATTTTGCCAGCTTATTTTTCTTCATCTCCTTCTTGGTAGCAACTGAGATTCTGAATTCAGTGAATATATGTTAGACACTGTTTACTTGAACTTTTAAAACAAACTGTTCATTTTGGGTGTAACAGAAATGCTCTCTTTTTATATTACTGTTCCCATGTCTCTCTGCAGAGACTCGCCAACACAAACACCTACTTACAGGGCTGCACTCCACCGCTGTGAGCTCTTTGGCGATTCTGCCATTGGATTTCAGTCGATAAATTTGCATTTAGCGCTTAATTTGTTCAGTATGCCTTACTAATTTGGCAATATTTATTTTGGCCCAGAAAGCATAAGGCAGCTAAATTCTTTTGTTTGGTTTGGTGGGTTTTTTTTTTTTTCATTTTCATAAAAGGATTTGAGATATGAAAAAGTTACAATGTCATGGACAGGACTGGCTTCCTGTTTATGAGTCACCATAAATATGAAAGGTGCTGGGTGACATTTCTCAGCTGAGAGAGTCTATACAGCCCTGTGTGGAGAGCAAATCCTCAGACTGGGTGGTCTTGAGGTGACTTGCTGACCTTGTATAATGTCAAGAGGAATTATTGTTAAAGTACAGTAGCCAGATACCACCCCTCCTCAATACACACACACGCAATTTAAATGCTTTTTCTCGCCCTCGCTATTATAGGACAAGAATTTTGTTGTAATATCTTCGTGTTCTCAGAATCAACCTTCATCTTTCGGGGAAAAGGGACAGGAAGTGCATTCATGTCTGTAGCATTTTTGTTTGTTTGTTTGGCCTGTGATCCTTTCACAAGGCTCTTCCACTGAAACAAATCCTCCTCCACTGCATTGCGCCCAGAAAATTCTGTTAGATGCGGAGCTGCAGCCCTGTCGTCCCTTCTCTTTCCTTCAAAGGAATGCGGCAGTTCGCTGGGCCTCGCACAGGCCGGGAAGCATCGGTATTAATCTCTGAGAACACAGTAGTTACCAGACTCTGACCTTCCTAAAACCTATGTGTTCAGGGAAGAGTGGTCCCCACGGTGTGGGTTTTACATTGTTTGCTGGAACACAGTGGGCCAATAGAATGCTCCCGAGACAGGAGGCTGTTCTCACTCAAAAACAAGTAGCTTTGATGCCTGACAACTTGTGAAAGTCTCAGAAGAACTGGGCTTATGGCATCAGACTACATCCATCCATCTCAGCTCTGGTCTCTTCCAACTCCCAACCCACAAACACTCAGAAGTTGGTCTGAGATATTAAGACTGCACTTTTTGCAAAAATGAATCAATCTGAGTCATGTACAGCAGTGCTATCAAGGCTGTTATTTCTCCTCACACACAGAAAACACTGCCTATGTAATTCTGAAGACCTTTTCCAGATCATTCAATGCTACTCACTTCCTGAACATGCCATGGTTTTTATTTTTCATACAGCTCCATACATTTTCCAAGTTATTCCATCCTACAGAATGCCCTTCTCTAGGCTTCTCCACCTAGTAAGCTTGTAGATACCCTGCAGTAGCCAGTTTCAATGTAACCACTTCTATGATGCTTTTGCCAGCTTCCCAGGCGGAAAGTCCCTTCCTCTATGCTTCCCTTGATCTTCGTACTTTCATTTGGTCTTTTTCTCAAGCATGCCTTATTTCGTTTATTCAAATAGTACATATTTCAATGCCATCTGTATGCCAAACACCACGCAAGCCACTTTTCCTAGAATGTTGCAATGTTTGTCTATGTAAATTGTCTCTTTGACAAAATTATAGGTCTTATGAGATCAGGAACTTTGTCATTTATATCTTAAAATCCCAACTGCCCAAGGCAAGGTGCATGGTTTTCTTGCTCACAAATTTTATTTACAGTAAACAAATTAAAGCCCTGCAATCTGTAGATTCAACCCAGACTGATCAGTGTTTATCAGATAATTGTTTACCTACCTACTAGATAATGAGCCATATTAAGCCCAAGTAGTTATGCTTCCAAGTACTGGCCTTGTTTGCAGGAAGCATTGGATGTTTCATGATGGATACTGGGAAAAGTCGGTGTCTCAATTTCGTTGTCTGTAAATAAAGATAAAATTGCTTACACCATTCATGTGAGAATTAAATAAAATAATGTGTAAAATTTCATTTTGCCCTTACACCAGTGTTCTACGAGTGGCAGACATCAGTCTTAATGATCAATATGTTTAGGAATTATGTCAAAAATAACATTATAAACTTTTAGAACCACACAGTAGAAAATTTAGGAACATCTTCAGGGTTGGACTGACTTGCTCAAATGCAGTAAGTGATGTCCACCTTGTATGTCAACAAAGACTACTCTGGAGTCAGCTCAAAGAATCAAGAGGGTGTCATTATCACTGGGTTACTTATATACAAAGGCTCTTGCAGGCATAAAGTTGAAAAATGATCAAGATATCCAAAAGGAGTTCTAGGGCATGTAACCAATCAACCGTAATTCACTCGCATCAGTAACAAGCCCCTGTGACGTGGCCAAGCCCTCGCAGTCTTTAAGGGACTGCTTCAGGATGGCTTCAAGGACTGAACATCTTCCCCAAGGGCATGGACTGGCATCTCAGCAGCAGGAGTGAGGTTGATGCTGGAGCAATAGGCATAAATAGAACTGGGATGTGTGGTTGCTCCCTTATAAATTAATGTAAAGAACACAGATTTTACTAAAGAAAGGTTTTAAGTATAGTGGTGAAATAATGTGATTTGTGCTTCTAGGAGCTCACTCTGGCACTCTGACTGCTGTATGGAGAATGCTCTGGAGGTCAGTTCCTAGGATGCAGGAAAAGCACTAGGGATGCTATTGCAGGAGATGAGGTAAGAGATGGTGATGTGGAAACCTAGGATGATTGCATCAGTTGAGAGATTCTATAGACTAGTGGGGAAAGCGAGACATAAACTGAGACATTAAGTATAATTTAATAAAAGCCTTGCCTTGTAGTAGACACTTTACAAATGTTTACGCATTCATCTATTTGTATATACAAAAAATATGAGCAGCACTATAGACCAGGAACTGTCTTGAATGCTAAAACACATGTCCCTCCCCAGTCTTCAGTATAGTATAGGGAAGCAGTATAACCTAGAGAAGAAGGCAGATATAATTAAAGATTTACAAAGACACACATATGTGTGTGCATACATGTAGAGAGAGAGAGAGAGAGAAAGAGAATATTATGTTAATGTTATGAGACCTTATTATGGGAAGATTTAATGAATGAATGAAGGAATGATTAACCACAATAAATGAAAGAACTGTCAGATAATGGTGTCTTGAGGCTCAGGCATTACATAAGGAGGTAACTGAAGAATATCTTAAAGGATGCTTTAGAGTTTTTGAAGTGGAGAATGGAATTGGTGAGGCAACAAGCTCTCCACGCCAGAGGAGTGTATTAGCAAATCAAAGAGACCTGGATAACCTGGTATGTCTGCGGAATAGAAAAGGGCCTACTCTTACCCTTAGAGACTGAGTCAGAAAAAAATCAATAGAGGAAAAAAAAAATGTTAGACCCTCTTGTGGATAATGAGGTCTTAAATGATACTATTTTCCTAAATCTTAAATTTCAGTAATTTCACTACTTTTGCTAATGTCAAGACATTAGCATAAACATTGACCTGGATGCATTCAAACTCATACAATTAGCAAAGATATAGAAGATCTGAAGAGCATGATGGGTCAGTTTGATCAAATAGAGATTTATGGAATACTAAATACACCAAATAATAAAATATGTTGTTTTCAAGCATACTTGTTTAACAGGCATCTATGGTATGCAGAATTCTAAAATATCACCCAAGAGCCCAGCACCTAGTATGCAGACACTTTCTCCCAGTTAGTCATCAAGCACTGATCTAGGTACCACTGTAAAACATTTTTATAAATGTAACTAAGGCCCCAAATCAGATGATCTTAAGATGGAGAAATTATGCAGGTGAGCTTGACTTAATTTCATGAGCTTTTTTAAACTGGGTCTAGAGGTCAGAGACAGAGGAAGTTAGAGATTCAAAGCATGAGAGGTATTTGACCCAAGAGAAATTTTCTGTTGCTAGCTTTGAAAGTAGAGGCTAACAAGGCTTGGTATATAGGTGGCCTCTAGAAACTGAGAGCAGTCCCCTAGCTGATAGCCAACAAAGAAACAGGAACCTCAGTTCTATACCCACCAGGAACTGAATTCCACCAACCATAAGAATGAGCTCAGAAGCAGATTCTTCTCCAGTGCCTCTAGACAAGAACTCAGCTCCGCTGACGTGGTCATTTCAACATAGTGAGAACCTGAGCAGAGAACTCAGACACACTCTGCCAGATTTCTCACCTACAGAACTGTGGGCTAATAAATTGGTGTCGTTTTGAGTTTCTACATTTGTTATGATTTGTTACACAGCAATAGAAAACTAATACAGTATCAGTCCATAAGAAAATCCCAAAAGATATCAAATAATTTATAAAACATAGGCCACTACCTTGGACTAAAATTCAATAAAATTAGAAATGCTAAAATACACTTCCCAAAGTTCCATAAATTTGGAATTTAAAAAAAAATTCTAAATAGCCCCTGATTGAAAGGACAAATCATATTAGGAATTATAAACATTAAGAAATAAATGACAAATCTATACCATGTCCATGGATGAGAAAACTCAATAAAATATGTCATTTCTCTGTAAATTAATCTATTGATTCAATATAATTCATTTAATAATTCCAACAAAGTTTTTGTGATAAAAGCAAGTTGACCCTAATATTCATATGGAAAAGTACTTTTCAGGTTTCTACTATTAAAAACTAAGCTGCAAAAAATAATTTCATGCACACAAACTTGAGAACTTTTGTGCAAAACCAAAAGAAAAATGATGAGTGAGAAAAATTATTTGAGACTCATATTATTAAGGGCTAATAACATATAGAGAGCTCTAACAAAAAAGATAAAGTAAAAAATACACTATAAAATCGAGAAAGAATTATGTGTAGAAAGTTTATAAGAAATAAATTCAAATGACAAATTTATGAAAGATGTTCAACTTCATTTACAACTAATGGAATGCAAATTAAAAATTACAAGATACAATCTGTCAATTTAGCAAACATTTTAGTCATTTTTTTAAGTTTCCAAGTATTACAATGTTTTAACATCTTAAAAAATGTTTCTGGCTGGAAGAGACTGCCCCTTCCAGGGGCTAACCAATACTTAGTGACAGCAAAGGACTTAGCCAAGAACATGCCTTTTTAAAACTATTTTTTAATTTTAGCTTCATTGAGGTATAATTAACATCCAACTGTAAGATATTTAAAGTGTATATCATGATGATTTGACATACATATACATTGCAAAAGGATTCCCACTATCTAGTTAATTAACACATCCATCACCTCACACATTTACCTTTTTTATTTTTGGTGAGAACATTTAAGTTCTACTCTCTTAGCAAATTTAAATTACGCAATACAGTGTTATCAATTATAGTGACCAAGCTTTATATTAGATGCTCAGACCTCATTCATCTTATAATTGAAAGGTTGTACCCTTTTATCAACATCTCCCTCTTTCCCCCACACACAGCACCCCCAGCCACTGCCTTGTTTATTTCACTTAACACAATGTCCTCCAGGTTCATTCATCTTGTTGCAAATGGCAGGGTTCCCTTCTTTCTCATGGCTGGATAATATTCCAATGTTCAGGAACATGCCTTTTATATGCAAACTAACCAATCCAGAGCCATACCTCCCCTGTCTGACCCGTTCACCCCGGGAAGCAATATTTCTCTGCTTTAATCATCCCAGGTCCAGGTACCAGGCAACTAGGGATCGCCCCTGTAGTTTAGAGCCTGCCAAAAGTATTCCAACTAGCCAGTCCTAAACTTTTTACCCTGCCCTGTCTTGCCTTTCCCACAATAAAGGTTCTGGCCTAAATCTATCTTTTGCTTCTACGACCTAGTGTTCACCCTGTGGCCCTGGGTGTCGAGCTGTGCCTCTCATTACTAGGGGCAAGTATGAGTAATATTAAACTGTTCTTTCAACAGCACTGACCTCTCCATGTCCTTACTTAGTCACCTTTATAAATTAAGACCCAGGCACAGAAGACATGTCTGCCCAGTCAATACTTTTGCTGAAATTATACCTTGCCTAAAATTTATATTCCTATCTATATTTTTCAGGGTTTAATCAGGAATCAGAACCTCTCTGAGTAGCATGGAATCAAGAATTTATGATAGGAATAAGTCTTTATGTAATTACGGAAGAACCTGGGGAAGGAAGGATCTGGCAGGAGGAAAAAAAGAGCAGAAAAAAGCCACTAACCAGAAGCCACTAACCACTAACTTGCCAGAAGCACCAGCTTGGGTAGAGAAGTTGCAGCTTGCAAGGAAATCTGGAAAGCCAGAACATCAAGCTGCCAGAGTGCAGCTGTGAAGGGGAGCTGACGGAAAAGTGTATGGAAACTTAAATCCTCTGCTTAACCACCTTTTCTATAATTCTACCACCAAGCTTCTGGTGATGGGCCTGGAGAGGCTACTGGTCAGCAGGGCCAGCAGTCAGGAAAACTGGATGGATGGGGGTGGGCAGAAGGTGAGATCAAGCTGGAACCCTCTAGCGCCTCTGCATCTGTCTTCCCTTCCATGTAAGCACAGTGACCTTCAGAGAGTAACGGCTCAGATCTGCCTTGCAAATATCAAGCGAATTCCTTTTGTACCCTACTCTAACCTGGAAACAGAGAGAAGGTGATGCTGCGGAACCGTTCTCCAGTAACCAAGTAAACACAGCCACAACCTCCCACTCTCTGTTCTCATTGTCTTTCCATCCGCCAGACACGCCTTTGCCCATCTTACTATTCCGATCTTTCTGTATTATTTTGCTTCAAGCTTGTCCCTTATAAAGAGTAGACATTGGTTTTATGAGTGCTATTCTTGTTCCCCAAAGAAAGCTGTCTTTTAATAAGAATGTTAAAACCATTTGTCTTTATTTTCAAAATTGATTTGTGTTTATTTTCCTGTCATTTTGTTGTTGATGTTTGTATTTCTCATCTGTATTTTATTTTTCTTTTGTTTTTCAACTTTGAGGTCTTTGCTTTTATCTCTTCCTGCACTTTAATAGGAACACATCTGTTTTAAATTATTTTAATGATTACTTTTAAGATTTTCAAAAATATTCTTAAACATGTATCTATCGATCTAATGAGGTCAAGAGAAAACATGGAGGTATAACTGAAAAAGCATTAACTAAGAGAGTAATCTGATCTCAGTTTAAATCTAGCCCCTGTGGCTGGTAGCCATGGAAAGTCTCAGTGTCTATTTCTTCTGCTGACCTGGAAAGATTGTTTTGTGGTCCAGTAGAAATAGAGGAGGAGGGCCTCAAATATTATTATTACTACCAATTTTAAATGCTGTCTATGTACCAGGCTATGCATACCCTGTGAATTACCTCATTTAATTCTCACAACATCCCTCCAAAATAGGTATTATCATTCTCATTTTATAGCTTAGTAAGCTGAGGTTCATAAGAGGTAGGTGACTTGTCAAGATCGCATAGCTAGTAAGGATCAGAATGAGTCAAACCCAGCTTTTTCTTTCCTCAAATCAATCCTCTTAACCACTAATCAAAAAGTATATGTACTCTTTTGCTAAGTTTTCTAAGCTCTGAGTCATACCAACTTACAAGCATATTTTTAGAAAGGAATCATTTTATGTGTATACTCAATAAATTGCAATTATTATTGTAACTGTCCTCGTTGACTCTCCCCACATGTAAACATTTAATCCACTTTTCCTTACCCCTCTTGCTTCTCCTCCTTGCCCTCTTCTGTCACCACATCCATGCTCACCCACGGTGCAGCCCCGCCCACAGCATCCTGGTTCCTTCAAGCACTAACCCCTGTAAAGCCGAGGGGCCTTGAGTCCTGCTAAAGATCTGACCATTCTGATTTGACTGGCAGATAATGAAAGAAAGAAAGAATCTTTCTCCTTGCTTTAGTGGGAGCGGGTTTTCCCTGTTCTTAGCGACGTCACATGAGCAGGCCTCAGAGAGCGTCTTTCCACCCAGACTCACGGTCTCGCAGTTGTGTCACTGACTCCCAGTCCTGGATAAAGTGTGGATGTTAGTCCTACATGTTGGTGGATGCGTGAGTTGTCATCTTCTCTTATTCGCCATGGGAATTTTAGAGGAAATTTGAAAGATCTTATTGGACCTTGATTTTGACATGCTTGGCATTAGGGAAAAAAAAAATACTGACCAAATCCATTGAGCCAAATATAGGCTCTTCAGCCAAATGTATGGGTCGGTGTTACAGAGGCAGAATGTTGGTAGTGTAATAGCAAGAGCAAAGATATTGGCACCAAACACACTTGGGTTTGAATGCTGATTTCACCAGCTATTAGACGGGAGGCCTTGGGCACATCACTCAACCTTCCTGTACCTCCCTTACCTCATCTGTAAAGTGGGGATAACAGTGCCTACCTTGTCAAGTATAATGAGGACAATGAAAAGTTACTGGCACATGGCAAATATTCAATGGATGGTAGTTGCTACTGAGGTGAGGTATCAGTTCTGTTATCACTCTCACATGACCTGCTTTTCCTTCTGGGTAATGGTGGTGATGGTCCAGCAAAAGCAAGCCCACACCAAGTCCCACTGCATTGGTCAGCACGAGCTTTGTTAACTGGATACATAGATTACGAACTACTTAGTTGATATACGCATTTCTGTAGCTAAAGAAAAATATTTACCCGGCAGATTAAATTGAATTAAAACAATCAGATTAAAAGGAGGCTGGAGGCTGCCCCTCAAGTCAGCAAGGGCCAAGTTGCCTTGCTCTGAGTAGCAAGCACATGCCAGCAGCTTGACTAATTTTGGAGTAACATGGGGAGGTGTGACTAGAGGTGCAAAAGGGACTGAAACGCCAAAAGGAGGGTTTTTCTCTTCACACTGTATTCACATCACAGCTCTGGGGATAGGCTCACCTCACTAACTCAGACCAACAGAGATAAGGGATGCAGAGTTTGAATGAGAGAACATCAGCTTAGGACAGGTAAGTTTCCATTACAGGTAGTGCCATCTTATAAATAAGCCATTTTTTGAAAAGCGAAAGGGTAAGTTAGCCCTTTATAATTCAGAGCAGATTTTCTCATAAATGTAAATTTATATTCAGTGATCAAGTGATCAGCCTCCCAGGTTGGCCACACAAGTATTTCTAATCCAAAGAGCTTCATGTGACAGGCGCCACACCCAAACAATGTTAAGCTCCATAAAACAGTGTTCTGTAGCCAGATTGTTTGCTTGCTTGCTTACTTTTTAGACAGTCCCTATAAAGTTGAATTCTCTTCAGGAACTGTTCTTAAAACAGTACTTACCGGCTATGAAGAATATTATTAAAACAATATAGGTTGCCTCTATGGATCTTCTAGCACCTTCCAGTTTCGGTTATACTGGCTGCCTGGGCTTAAGTTATGTCACAGGAAATACCCCTTAACCCAAAATTTACCAAAGTGTGTTCCACAGCTGAGTATTTCAGGAGATTTTAATTGTTCTGTAAAAAGAAAGAAAAGTTACTTTATAAAGTAAATTTGGGAAATCTAACACTCGAAAATCCGCTCCTGGAGATTCACAATGCACATTCGGTTATTAAAGATTTTAGGGTAAAGAAATCTTTTCAACTTCAAGTCATCAGCTTTCATTAAAATAATTTCAATACATAAGTTTTATTGCATATCACTCTAATTAAAATCCTGAATATAGTGTTCAGTGAGACACTAGATTGGAAAATGCCAATAGACTTACTTCCACCCACTAGCGTATGTGCTGCATAATACCCACAGTAGAATAACAGACCAATGCATATACTTTCACTTGTATTCAGCACTATAAAACAAGATACTATAGCGATATCATAAATAACTTGAAGTTTTACAGGCTATCCTGAGAATGTAATGATTACAACTAGTATAGAATTCAGGGGGAAATAAAATCCAAGGTTCTGTGAGAAGAGACTGTAGCTCCTCTTACTGCTATCTCTGGAGTTTCGACCATGACTTCCAGGATAGTGTCTCACCCCATAACCAGGCACGCCCAGGAGAATTTGCTCACAGAGCAGCTAGGGTTCAGTGTCTGCTCATAAGCACAGGAGTATTGATTTACACTAGCACTCCTGCTGCTGAAAATACTCTCTTCAACATGTAGGTAAATTAGCTGCCTCTGGTGTTCTCAATAATATTTTCTTTCTTCTTTTCCCAAGGAAATAATTAGTCTAGTCCCCTTGCAGTCTTTCTTATTCTGAAAATGTATGTAAAAATACCCTATCCTCATATAAGAGAATAAAAGTAAACTTGAGTTAGGGTCTAAAGCCCTGAGGAGAGGGTCTTGAATAAATGAGATTCATACATTGCTGATGGCAGAACACGAACTCGTTAGGCAGTGAAGAGTCCTCTCCCTTCTTGTGCTGGGAGTATGAACTCTGGCTGAGCAATGCCAGGAACTTTAGGGGCAATTCACTGTGCAACATGGATTCCCAGCATGCACTATTGATCTGACCCAGAAAGGCCCAGGCCCAGCGCGCATTTGTACTTCTGGCACGCCTGCTATAGACTAGCAGCTTGCTTTGGCTTATTTAATTACCTCCCCAGCCGGCAAAGTTCATGCTGCTCTCTATGGCACTTGAGAACTGCCTACACCAAAGGGTTTGGTTTCATGTACTTGAACTTGGGTGACACAAATAGTTCAGTGGTGAATCAGTTCTGGACAGGGGAGGTGGGTAAGGTAGGGAGTGTTTATAGAAGACATTTCATCACCACTAGTCAAACATGTCTCATTGTTGGTTCAGGAGGCGCTGGTATTTTCCTCTTTGAAGGGGATGCTCAGGGAGCCAAGAGCTTCCAGCCTGGAGCTCAGCTCCAGGGAAGGGCAATGGCCATTTGCAGGCAGGAAACCCGCAGGACTAGTTGCTTTGGAATGTTGACAATCTTAGGGAAATGATTTTATGTCTTTCCTCAGGAGAAAAAAAAGTTGGTCCTTGTACGTAAAAGAAAACTTGAGGCTGTCTTGGGACTGAAGCAGAGAACTCGTCCTTCTGCCTAGCTTCCTTTTAAAGGCTTCCCAGGTTGCAGAATCCCAAAGATGAGGTCATGAAAATTATAATTTCAGAAAATCAGTACTGCTGATATCAATGGTAAAGAAGTTTGGTTGGGAAATGAGAACATGGGATTTCTTTGGCTCGAGTACAACACTTAGACCATAAGTAAGAGAGTCCCAGACCCTATAGAGCAGTGTACCCTGTGAACCCTCACCCTTCAGGTGAAGAGGAGGTGGCACCATGGTCCTGAGTGCCCTTGCAAGCCTCGGGAAGTGGAAGTCATCTAAGCAGCTGGCCGTCATTCTGGGGATGTGGCATTATGAATGGCGAGGGGGTCCGAAGAAGATTGCATTTAGAAAAACCATAGCTGGGCCATGCCAAGAAACACAAACCAAAAGGAAATATTTTAAGAAAATAAACAAAGCTACTGAGTCAAACATACAAAGCAGGAAAGCAGAACAAAAGATTATTTGAGGCCTGAGGTTTGAACATTTTGAAGCCACACGTGCGATGGGCCAGCCCAAGAACATGAGGAGCCTTACAGCTGTGTAAGCGTTGAGGCAGCCTCTCCCATCAGGGGCTCCCCAGCCTGCGGGGCTCCAAGCAAGCCCACCGAGCTAGCTGATTGTGCTGACTTGAGCTCAGCCTTGAGCTATGCAGACATAGGACTCATCCATTGGTAGGCCACACAGATAGGGCAGAGAGGACTGACCTCACCAATGGAATAGCTCCTGTTGTATGTGTTTAAGTGCCCTCCAGCCCTCATTCATTGTGCAGGAACTCTAAAGTATGTTAGCATTATAACATATAACAGTCTTATAACCATGTATATACATTGAGTTTTACAAGCTTGGCTATCAGAACGTGTAACCAAGAACCTGTGGCATCCATATTACACTGTCTTCAGAATACCAGAATTCTGGAACTGAATTTGTTGGGCTGAATCATTTAAGTTCCCAGGAATTTAAACTTGTGAAATACTATATGAGTTGGGCACACTTCAGGTTCAAGCGTGTGTTCTAATGAACAGAGTGAAGTTCCAGGGCCCAACAGCCTCTATCAGAGGGTAGCATCTCAGTGGCACTGAATTCTGAATCCATTTTCATCTTTGGTGTAACCAGAGGGCTTTTTGAATCAATTACCTTAGCCACAGCAGAATGCCTTTCACCAAGATGTGCTATAATGCCATGCCTTTGGCTTTTACGAGGGGGTCAATCAAGCACATGCTGTATGAAAATGGCTCTGAATTTGTCATAAAGCTGTTGTCAAGAATATAGCCATATCTGATTGCAAGTTACATTAGTGATTAAAGGCCAGAAAGCGTGTCTCTTGAGGAATGAGTAGATTTCCTCTGTTCTGTCGATGAAGCTCATCAGGTTTTCTTTGCTGCTGTGGTTGCCAGAAAACTCCTCGCTAAATGTCATAATCATAACTCCATAACGTCTCATGATAACTACAGTTTTGGCCTCTTCCTTTCTTTGGTCCTACTTTTCTTTCATATACATACACACACACACACACACACACACACACACACACATTCAAATACCTATATATATCCTTTCCAGAAATTAGGACACAAAGATCAGGAAGTGTTACTCTAGTTAGTAAAGCAAAAATTCTCATATATGTATGATCCTGGCCATCTACAGATACTATTCCAGAAGAAACATCCATTATCTACTCATCTCTCAGTTTGGGAGAGATCATTTGTTTCACTGAAGGAAGGGCAGTATTATTCCTATCATGGAGGCAACAACCCTCTGCCCTGGTCCTTGTTCCTGGTAGGGATTGGTTGGGAAAAGAGGAAAAAGCATTTTTTAAAAAAAGCACCGTTGTTTAGCTGAGAACATTAATATGTTTTTGGATAAGTACAGAGAGGTCAAGAACTGAGTCTAGGTTTGGGGCAGGGGAATGCTAAGAGAGCTCTGCATGATAAAATGGAAAGTGCTGTGGAGAAGTTGCTGGAGTGTTGTGACCTTGGGAAAGGGGTGGAGAAAGGAGAGGGACATGAAGAAGGAAGCTAGAGACAGAGTTGGCAGAAATGATGAAGATAATTTTTTGGAAGAGGTACTTTTATATTCCATTGAAATTACTTAATCAACAGAGCTGTAAGGTAATTTGGTTTATCATTATTTTATTACTAAAATTGCATCTTTTGATTTGGATGTCAGGGAGGAGGCTGTTGGAGAAGGCAGAGAGGTAACAGAATTTAGGGAATGTTATCAGGGAGAAAGGATTGGGGGTCCCCTATTAAGTTGAATATTAAAATGACATAAAAGGGAAAAATGGGGTCAAGGTAAACTGTGGAAAAGAAAATTCAGTGTAAGTAGGTAATTGGAGTGAGGAGAGGTCATTGGCAGAAACCTGAGGCCTTGAGAATCTGCAAACACATGTGGAGAGGCTACTGTGCTCTGTGGTACACGGACTGGGGTGGGGCTCATGATGATAGTGTCTAAGTCTCAGGGACAGTAGGGAGACTCTCCTCGTCTATGTTCGCAAATATATTTCTATTTCAGGTCTCCTAGGGAGGCATCAGCTTAAAATTTTCAAGCTCCCTTTTCACAGAGCTAGGTGGGTCACAGCACACGCACATGGAAATTGCCTAGTAATACAGAAAGGGGCATAGGGCAGGTGTGCTCAGTGCCCAAGGAGACACTTCAGAGACTCAAAAGAGAGGTTTCAGTAAGCTAGAACAACCAGAACAGGCTCATGCAGGATGTAGATTAGGGGGTCAGACCTGGAAGGATAACAATTTCTGTCCCCTTATTTGTTGACTAGTAAAGGGATGAATGCATGAATAGTTACTGATAGTACTCTAAAAATGGACTTTGCATATCTTTAATAAAAGTTATTACACCATGAGAAATGTAATCTGAAGTACTTAATAACTTGGGCCAAGATGTAGGAACAGAGTAGAATAAATAGAAAGATATTTAATTTCACTCTGTATACGGGATTTATTTGTGAGTTACTGTCAAGGAAATAAATTACCAGTGTATTACTAGTTTGGAAATGGTAATATCCAAAACACATAGAAATCATAAGTACACATCTGACTCTGGAGAGAATAATTTCTAAGCATCAAAGGGGACTAATTAGCTATCATAATTTAGATCATTCATATGAGAAGAGTTCAGTTCTAAGATGCTTTATCACTAGAACTTTGAACTCAAGAAACAAAGACAGCTATGGATTAGAATTTGGTTAAACTACCTAACATCTAGTGATAAATTTCTCAGTTTAAGAAGAGAAATAAAACATTCTACATTCTATCATCCTATGCATGTGTATTGGGTTTTACTAGTAATTTTAATGAATCATTTATATCCTGCCTATTTCCAAGAAAAAAAATGATTCCATATAATAGTTAAAAAGAAAAGAAATTGAATACCAGAAAGCATATATAGAAAAGGTGTGGTAAAGTCTTTAAAAGGTGGTGGTGCCTTGAAATAATTCTT